CCGTAGTTAAAAACATGCTATTTTTGTGTTAAAATTTTCAATTTAAAAATGCTATAACTTTTCGAAAAATGTAAGTATCAGCACAAACTTATTTTTCTAAATATATTATAAGTACATATTTCATTTGATATACTTTATATTAAAATTGGATAATTTCCCCTTATAAAAGGGGCGTTCAAAACTTAAAACATTGTTTAAAAAATAAAACATTTTCAACTTAACTTTTGAAAAAGTTCCGGAAATACTGCGTCCCTTAAACATATATTAAATATACTATAAAATGAAAAAAAAAATTTGTCCCCAAACTTTATCTTCTATGTGCAAATGGCTGTCGAAATTAAAAAAAAAATGTAATATTTGCGATAAAAATCACCTTTTATCAGGATGTTTTTTGTACTTAAAACTTCCATAACTTTTTCAAATATTAACAAATCAAAATAATATTTTTTTATATACAAAAACAATTTCCTTTCATTTGATATCATTTTTTTTTTTTGAAAATCTAACACTTATTCTGCTCACAGGGGGGATTTAAAATTTAAAACTTTATTACAAAAACTAACTTGCCGAATCAGTAACACTTGTGTTTTTCACGATTATGGTACGAGGTTAAAATCCGCTTGTGACGATTAATATTTTGCATTTTTTTTTTGAGTTAGAATAAAATGTTTCAATCAATTTGATATTTATCTCATTTAGATTAAATAACTTCAATAAATATCAATAATCTCATCATTGTAGTCTCCCCTCATGAGAAGAAATTTCTTATTGATGTTAATATTATTTTACTATGTAGTTCTTTTTGTGGCTTCGATTTATTTTGTCAACCCTCATTAGACCTACTTATTTCAACAATACGTCAAATGATTACAATTCGTATTTAGTTTAAGTTATTACTCTTAAAAATTGAACTTTTCTGATAAATGTACAGTAAATATTAATTATAAAATTTCCTAATTGCATATTAATTTTAAAAATTTCATTTTTTCTATTTAATAATGTCAATTTCAAACTAGCAAGTTGAACTAAAAGTTATGGTAATAAATTAATTTTTTTTATTAAAATTTCACTTTAAAGGACAAAAAATAGTAGGTTCAAAATCTATCTACAGATTTGCATCGAAGCGTTTTTTATGATAGTGATTTTAATCACTGTCAGATTAAATCTATACTGATCCACCTATGCAACGTCCCCACTATGCCTCGATCCCACTGTGCTGGGTTTTTTTTTAATAAATGTTTTCCGTTTTTTATACCTGTTTTTTATACCAAATTATAGCTTATGTCATATACTATAAAATGAAAAAAAAAATTTGTCCTGACGACTTAATTTCTATGGGCAAATAGCTGCCGTAGTTAAAAACATGCTATTTTTGTGTTAAAATTTTTGATTTTCGATTTTATATTTTCAAGTTTAAATTGCTATAACTTTTAGGAAAATATATGTATTAACACAATTTTTTTTTTATAAATACAATATATATACATTTTCATTTAACGTACTTTTAATTTAAATTGGCCTTTTCCTTTTATACGGGGGTGTTCAAAACTTGAAACATATGTACAAAAAGTAGAACTTTTCAACTTAACTTTTGAAAATACTGTGTCCTTTAAACATATGTTAAATTAAAGCTTATAATAAATATTATAAGTTCAAAAAAATTAATATGTCCCGACACTTTTTCTTCTATAGAAAAATTTAACGAAAAATGTAACTTTTATGTAAAAGAACTGTTTGACATGAAATATTTTAATACTTAAAACTGTCATAACTTTTTGAAAAATGAACAAATTAAAATTTTTTTATAATAAAATCTTAGATATTTTTCATTCATTTGACATAATTTTTTTGAAAATCCGACTCTAAACCTGCACACAGGAAAAATTTAAAAAATCAATTTTTGCACACAAGTTATGCTTTTTCTATTTAATTTTTGAAAATGTTCTGAAAATATTAATAATTTATTTTATCTTAAATTAAAGCTTATATTATAATTTAGAATAAAGTTCATAAGACATAAGAAGTTTTTAAAGTCAGAAAAGTCACTTTAAAATTTGAATTAGCTTAAATTGCCAATTTTATTAATTGGCGAAAGCAACGAACAGTTGCTGAATAGGTAACACTTGTGTCGTCACGGTTAGAATACGCCTGTGGCAATTAATGCTTTGCATTAATTTTAAGTTAGAAAAATTTTCAAATCATTTGATTTTTATCTCATTTAGATTCAATAACTTCAATGAATATAAAGGATCCTATCACTATAGTCTCCCCTCCGGAGAAGAAATTTATATTCATGTTAATATTATTTTACTCTGTGGTTCTTTTTGTGATTATCATTTATTTTCTCTGTTCTAACTTGACCTACTTTTATCAACGATACGTCAAATGATTACAATTCGTCTTTAGTTGAAGATATTACCCTCAAAAATTGAAAAAAAATGCCTTAATCAAATATAAAGTACCTTAAACAGCTTTATCCATACAAACAATTAAAATGATTCATTTCTAATATTTTTAATGTATTTATTGAATTAGATTTGATATGATAAAATTATTCAACTGCAAAAGTAAATAATTTTACTTTGTAATTTATTAATTTTTTAACTCTATTTGTGTTTGTTACTAACAGGTCTATAATATTCCAAATTTTTGGGTAACAAGTTGCTATAAAAATAATTTTTTTTTAGAAATTATTTTTAGTTTCCCTAAATTTAACATTGGATTTTCACAATTATAATCAAATTTTATAATACACTCAATTGAGTAAATTTGTTAAACAACTTTTAAGAAACAAAAAAAAAAAATTAGGTTAAAAATGAAATTTTGCACTTATTATTTTTAGCATATTATAAATAAAAATCAGTAATTTTTTGAAAACAATATTTTTTTCTATTTTTAATTAATTTTTTTAAATGTAAATACTTATTTTAACAATCGATTTTTACAATTATAATCACATTTTATAATGCGCTCTCAATTGAGTAGATCTTTTTAACAACTTTTTTTTATTGGTTTTTTTAGTTAAAGTAAATCATTGAAATTAATTCAGTTCTGTATATTTCAATTGTAGAATCTTTTTAAATACCAAAAGTTAATTATAAATAATTACTATAATTTATATTTAAGTGATCTATTACGATAAAAATGTAAAAAAAATCGAACTTTTCTGATAAATGTACTATAAATAGTAATTATAAAATTTCCTGATTGCATATTAATTTTAACAATTTCATTTTTTCTATTTAATAATGTCAATTTCAAACTTGCAAGTTGAACTAAAATTATGGTAATAAATTCATTTTTTTTTATTATAAACTTTTACTTTATAGGACGAAAAAAGTAGGTTAGATAATTATTACTTTAAACATATTAAAAATAAAAATCAATAATAATTTGAAAAGAATTTATTATAAAAATTATATAATATATAATTATAAATATTTTACTTTTGTAATTATCCACCAATTTCTTAAAATTAAACACTATCTAAAGATTTGCATTGAAGCGTTTATTATGATAGTGATTTTTTAGTGAAAATTCTCGATTTTATTTTTTACATTTTTAACTTTATAATGATATAACTTAATGAAAAATGAATGAATCAACATAATTTTTTAATGAGAAATAATATTTTTTAATAATCTCTTTTTCATTCGATATACTTTATCTTAATCAGAATATTAATAAGGAACTAGCAGATTATGTAGCTTTTGGAATAATCCACCAATTGTTTTAAATTAAACACTATCTAAAAATTTGCATTGAAGCGTTTCATATGATAGTGATTTTAATCACTGTCAAATATCATTATACTTGATCCAACTATGCCACATGCCCACTGTGCTGGGATATTTAAATGGTTTCAAATGTTTATAATTAACTAGCTTATTTAACAGATATTGATGTAATGAAAAAAAAGACTGGTTGATAACATTTTTACCAGTTTTAAAACTATAGACAGTATTAATGAAGTTATTAACAATTTTTTTTTGTTTATTAGAGGAATGACTAGAAGCAAGGAGTGAGTGCTAATATTTTTATTGTTGGTCTTTTCCTGGCCATACTTTTCTTGCCACCTAAATATAAAAATGAGAAATATGTATGTTTTATATGTTATTAATAAAGTTAACACCCCTATAAGTTTTAAGAGATAATTCTAAAATTAGCTGATAAATTAAAAAATATATATAACTAAAAAAACTAACAATTTTTTTTTTTTTAATTTTGTATTTAATTTGAGAGTTTTCGAGTGGTTTATGATAAACCGATCATTCTGTACAATGAAAATGTGATTATTTATCTTAATTAACGTAAAACATAAATTTAGATAAATTAATTATTAAATCTGCTGCTATACAGAGTATTCAGTAAGTAAGGAAACTGGTCAGTTATTAAAAAAATAAAAACAATGAAAACCCATATCCTTACTTATATAATTATAAGACTATTAAATAAAATTAATCATTTATTAAAGAATTAATAAATAATCCGGTTTGTACTCAATTATTACATTATGTGGTATTATATAAATATATTAGTTTCGTATGGTCAAAATTTAATTATTTTGACTAGTACAAAAAATTATATTAAATATTTATTAATACAGGTTGAATCCTTTAATGCTTGCCGCTCGATTCGTCTTAATATAATAATTATTTTAAGAAATGTTTTTTATTTTTCTTCTATTGCAAATATTTCTTGGTTTATCATTTATTAATTAAATAAATTATATATATCCCGTATCTTGTAAGGGTATTAATTTATCTTTAAAATAACAAACATAATTGACTATTGAAAAAATTAAAAATAATGTAGTTCAAATATATGGTCGATAACAAGTTTGCACCAATAATGTGTAATAACTAAAAATAAAGTAGGTGGAGATGGTATTAATAAAGAGGAATGATAATGGCATCATCCGTAAAGACATAATAAATAAAAGTACTTTGTTTCTAGTTATAATTTGATTAGTATAGTTAGTGTATTATAACTACTCTTACCTGATATACCTTGGCGGTAAAGCACGGTCCTCGGTGTATAGAGGAGAAAAGAGTATTTTTCTTCTTCTTCCTCGCCTTAATCCCACTACTTGGGGTCGGCCAAGAGAAAAAAGAGTTGTGTGGATTTATTAAATGTTAAATAAGAAAACAGACTATAATATAGGCGTATAATGTGAATAATTAAATAATTATTTCAACATGAAAATATCTTAAATTAGACTACAAACTTATAAAGAAGAAGCGACACCAAGTTATAATATAAGTATTGAAAAATAAGTAAAGAGACTGCAAAATAAAAGAAGGAGCAAATCTAACTACTTAGGTATCATCGCCAGAAGAGCAAAAATGAGTGAGTGTCCGAAACGAATATCAAAGGACGGACCAGAACCCAGAGGGTTCTTAGGTCTGCAATAATTAATCAAAGCAATAAAAATTTTATGTGATAATATTAAAAGAAAGGTGTGCTTTACAAGAGGTACAGGGAGTGAATTGAATGACATCATTGTTTGTTTAAGATATGTAAACAAATAATAACGATTAACGTGTTATGAATCTGTATGAGGTCATTCATGGCCTTATGCGGCAAGGATTATGTAAACCAAATTTAACTATTACACGCCTCAGCGGCGTCGATATATTATTGGTAAACGTTGGTGAGATGTATCAATTTAATTAAGTAATAAAAAGAATATTTCAAATGGCAATTTTGAATATTTAAAAGCCTTTTTATTTTTTGCTTATTAATGACAAATAATATAATTTAATTGTAAATTTTTAAGCTGCACAATTTTGTGTTTTTTTTTATTTTATTTTTTATAAATTAAGGCACTTATCGATATGAGCCATACTAATAATTTAGTAGTTGGATTTATTATTTCTCAATTAGTAAGTTTATGAACAACAAAATAATCGAAAATAATTACTCACATAATATTTATGAACTTTGGATATACATTCATTAATAGCAATAATTAAATGATTCTGTTAGAATTTTAAGTTACTCGTATTTGGTAAACACTATTTAACTTATATATTTAACGTAAAATATTTTTACTAGTCTATCAAACTAAATTATGATAATCCTTTTATTACAGATTATCAATTTATTACAATAAAAAAGTAATAAATGAAATTAAAAAGTTCAATAATACGACTAAATGAATTGTATGATGTTGTATAAGTAGTAAATTATAATACTTATAATTTATAATCAAAATAATTATTGGTAATATTATGACCTATAACTGTTGAATAAAAAATGTTGAATTATCTCTTGATTTTAGAACAATAATAATTATGATGAAACATTGGAAGAACTTTATACTTTTTAAGAAATTTTAATTATTATAGTTAAACATCGTCATCTTATGAAAAAGGTAAGCCTGTGTGAGTCAAAATAAGAGGTACCAGGAAAATCTTACATGTAAATATAATAAACTTCAAAGTTATATTGATCATCTCCACTTAAAATATGTTTAGATGTAACAAGTATTCAAATTAACACAAAGTGTATATATATGAAAAAATAATAGCTCGATTGGGTCTTCACCGATCGTCATCGGTCCGTTAACAAACTTATGGTTTTTTTTTTTAAATTTCAACTGCCTCAAATATTTAATATTGACTATATCTTAGTGTTGTTATAATCGCTCGATTATTCAACAATTCTAAATGTAGGGCGACACATTAATTATTTTCCACTGATTAATTATGTGATTCCATTTTTAGGTTTTTGACAACCACCAAACATCAGTTGTGGTAGTTGTTTAATCGCATCGAAATTAAAAGGTTAAATGTTTAAAATATTTTTTGACATTTATTTACATAACAATAAAAATATATAAATAACACTTTATAATTTAATAAACAAATGAGCTTAAACAAATTAAAATATTCACCAAAACAAAAATCACTTCAAAATTTCTAAATGCTATTTAATTTTAAACAAATATTCCAAGTCAAAAAAAAAAGTCCCAGAGAGTGAGAATTTTGTGTAAAATGTCGCAGATTTTGTGTATTTTAAAATTAACTAAAGAACTGGTTTTGACGGGGAAAATGGCTTTTTATAGTCGGAATAGGGTAGTCCCTAGCGTGATCTCGGAAGCTGAGGCTTTCTATTCTAATTGGATAATTAAAATGGGTAGGGAAGCTGCGCGCAGGCGTTACTGAAAAACTTATAAAATAAGTATAGAAGTGCAATAAGTAATGATAATTTCTATGTAGTGAACTGGGTGTTTTAAGTCTAAATTCGATTATGCAGATAAGTGTTGTCAGGAAGAGTGAAAATAATAACTAATTATAATGCAACATTCACTGATTGAACACTGGCCCCATAAGATGGTCAAGTCCCCTTTCATATTTCCATTATTTATTAAATAATCACAGAAATATTAATACCATACTTCTTTCTAGTGTTGCAATTAAAATATTTGGCAGTATAATTCTTCTTTATAGTTATTATAATGTTACATATTAATTCCTTAAAACTAAAATTTACAAAATAATCATGGGTTCACGACACCATCATTCTTAGAGAGAAATAATATGTAAAATATTATTTCTAAAATTTTAATAGATAATAATAATACATAGAATAAATAATTAACAGCTTTTTATACATGTATATGTACATGTAAAATATTTTAAATAACATAAATACATAAAATAATTTATGTTTAAATCATGTATTATAAATCATAATACATCCAGAAATGATGAAAAAATTTAAAAATTTGTTAAGATAATCTTAAGATAGTGATGTTTTGCTTTTATATTAATTTTTACTTAAAATTATGTTTTTAATCTAATTAATTTATCAATTCAGTAATATGATACTCAACACATGATTTTTCATGTTTATACATTTTTTTTATAAAAATTAGCACTATCTTTACAACTAGCCTTTCCAAAAGGCTTTATTTTATTTATAAATATAATTGTATAATTTTTTACAAATACATTTATCATGTATCATCTTTTCCACTTAACACATCGTATGGTTAAGTTAGTACAATGACTCTAATAACTATTAACTTTGTAATCGTAACTACATTAAATATATGACCCAAGCATAATAAGAGGAATATACATATTATAAAAAACATTACATTAAAAGATTAAAGTTATGAGAGACAAAAAAATAAAAGTAGTACGGTCAAAGATTCAAGAGAAAAATATGTATATATGAGAAATCAAATATTTAAGATGACTCCATTAGTCATAAAAAAAATATATAAATTAAAATATATCTAATTAATATTGCGTCATCCGATAAAATGATTTTTTGTTTTATTAACCATTATGTCCTCGTAAATGTAGGGCAATTAAGAGTGATCACAACAATAATGTATAACAAGTTGTACAGACAGATATGTATCCAAACGGTCTATGTATTCTTTCAAAAGAAAAATAATACATACTGATTATCATACGCATATAGTATTTATTGTAAGAACAAACAAGCAGTTATTAACATATTAATTGGTTAGCTAAAACTCATTTTAAATAAAGTCTATTAATTTTCAATGTCTTAAATCTAACATTAAATAGTTGATTTAAATAATCAACAAGATAAAATAAAATTTAGGAAGAACATTACAGACCAACGCAGGTGTCAGAGTATAATGGACATGTTACCAACGTCAATGAGTATCCTCTACATAAATGTAGAGGGCCCAATAAGATGTTCACTCAAAGGAAATTATTACTATTACTTCTATTTAAGTTATCTATTACGATAAAAATGCAAAAAAATATTGAGTTTCTCTGATAAATATACTTTAAATAGTAATTATAATACTTCTTAACTGCATATTAATATTAACATTACAATTTTTTAACTCTCATAAAATTTTCTATTTAATGATGTCAATTTCAAACTTGCAAATTGATCTAAAAATTATTGTAATAAATTAATTTTTTTCTACTATAGACTTTCACAAAAATCAACATTTAAGAATTAACAAAATAAGTTAAATATGTCACTTTCCTTATTTTTAACATATTAATAATCAAAATCAGTATTGATTTAAAACAATTTTATTTTGTTCTTAATTTTTTTTTTTGTAAATTAAAACTTTGACGTGATAGAAAAAGTTTAATTGTATATTTGAAAACATCGAGAAAAGTTGATTTAGAAAAGTACATTTTTGTTTCTGATGATGATCCTTGTAGTCAAGTGTATAATATTTATAAATTTTCTAATAAGTAACAAATATTTTTTATTGAAAAGTATTCCATCAAGCTCTTTAAATTTTTATACGGGTTAAATGTAAAGACATATACAACTACTTTATTATTTTTTAAATATGTTCGTAAAATTTAATTAAATTAAATATAAGTAATTTAGCTAAATTAAATGCTTTAACTTCAAAAAGCCAAGTTTTGAAAAGTTTAAAAATTACTTATTAATATACAACTTTATGTATAATTTCTAAGCAATACTTTTATGCACGTTAATGATTGAATAATACTTAAAATATTACACTGTTTAATACTAATATGTTTAAGTCAAATAACAAATAAAGCACAATACATACTAATTATTATATCAGTTAAAAACATTTATAAATTACAACTAAGTCTACACGACTAGAAACTCAGATAGCATGGTAACATAAGCGAAAGAATTAAATGTGTTTCATTCAAAATGTTAAATATTTACCAAAGATAGTATGTAAATTATTTACATTATTTCACTGTTAGTTTAATGTTAGATGAATGTACACCCGGAGAAAAAAAATCTATATACATATTTTGTTTTATTTATATCATAACACTCAATGTTACTATATAAACTAATTTCTATTATTTTTTTTATATAATTTATTAAAAATAAAGAATTTTATTTCGCCGAGGTCGTAAATACTTACACAATATTTACTTGAATATTTTATATAACGCCCTCTTATAATATAAATACGTAAAATTATTAAAATTAAAAACCGCTAGATTTCGCTATACAAACATTAAGGAAACAATAAAATTTTTTAAAGGGATTGGGATTGAGGATTTTTATTGTCTGGATTAAAAAGATTCTATTTTGTATTCGTTTTTAGAATGACTGAGATTGTTTCAATGTTTTAATGCTAAATTGTTTTAAAATTATTAAACTTCTAAATGTATAAAATACTACTCGAGTAACTCCCAAGTCATACACAATTTATAGTAACTATTATATGTAATGAGAGATAACAATAGCCCTATGAGATTACCTGCGTGTACGCCACTATTCCTTGTTATTTAACACTAAATAAATCAATGATATAAGTACTAACAAAATAAATTATTGTGAGATTTGAGTGATATAAAACTATAACTTTTTATCAGTTATTATTAGTCTTTTTAGACCATCTTGTTCAACAAATACGGCAAAAGATTACAAATCGTATCTAGCATAAA